TTTTAAAACAAAACTGATTATTGCTAGTTAATAGTGTTACTTTGTTGAATAAAATGTATTGCCTTGCTTTTTATTGATGTATAACAATGTATACTACTGCAGTATAAACAGTAGCCTGTATGCAAATTAAAATAATGTAAGACGTAGAGCTGTATGCTGCATTGAATTTAAAAGTTCAATTGTATAAAGAAAAGCATTTCGGGGTATAATAAAAGAAATTATTATCTGGTATAAAGTAAGTAGTAATCCGAAAACTTGTATACCTGGTCACAATATCCGGTATGTACTTAGTATTAATCCGGGAACTTATATAACTGGACACAATATCTGGTATATACTTATTAGCAATCCAGGGACTTGTATAACACGACACATCATCCGGTATATACTAAGTAGTAATCCGGGAACTTGTTTACTTGGTCACATTATCTGGTATATACTAAGCAGCAATCCGGTAACTTGTATAACTGGACACATTATGCATTATATACTAAGTAGCAATCCATGAACTTGTATATCTGGGCACATTATCTGTTATTTACAAAGTAGTAAAACGGAACTTGTATAACTGGATACATTATCCGGTATATACTAAGAAGCCATCCGGGTACTTATTATCTGGACACATTATCCGGTATATACTAAGAAACAATCCGGGAACTTGTACAACTGGACACATTATCAAGTTTATGTTAAGTAGAAACCAGGGAACTTGTATATTTGGACACAATATCCGGTAAATACTACGTAAGTAGCAATCCGGGAACTTGTATATTTGGACAAAATATCCGGTAAATACTTAGAAGTCATCCGGTAACTTGTATATTTGGACGCAATATCCGGTAAATACTTAGAAGTAATCCGGGAACTTGTATATCTGGATACATTATCCAGTATATCCTATACATCTTGCAAAATCTTACTCATATGTGAAATCATGCATTTCTCATTCACAACTTTATTACATTCTGAACTTACTTCTGGATGGTATACAGGAATGGTAATGCTAATCATAAACAACCCGAGACTGGTTTTTATATCACTTTAATTGTTTCCATAATAAAGGGATTGTTTACTTTTATGTCCAATGTGGATAAGTTTCTAGTTCCTTCAAATCAATCGCCGCCTATTGATGCTTTACTACAGAAGCTCTTGTATCCATTACACCATCGAGCCTGTTTATCTTGTCTCCTCATCCTCTTAGAAAACGACATTGCTAATCTCGCCATTATAAATTTATCAGGGTATATTTGTTTAAACCCTTGATTAGCTTAACGTCAACTTCGCGCAAAATCTTAAAATAGTTTAATTATAAAAAAAAGATTTTCAAATTCAAAACAAAATTTGTATGTATAAGGATTTAAATGATCATTTTATGACAATGACATAATTGTATTTTTTATATAGAGTTCTCAAGCATCATATTAGAAAGTGTGTGCTAATGACTCGTTAATCTAACACGACATTGTACAATTTGACTCGGATGTCAATTAACCTTCCAGTAATATATGTTAAATATAGCATGACACAGAAGTTATCGCTTTTCTATCACTTACTGTATGTGTGACATCTTTTATTATGACAGTGCTGCATTGTTGAAGCACTATCTTGTCATTTCCTTATTTTGGTAAACTTAGGGGTCTTTTTTATTTAAACATGTTATTAATTTATCCACTTTCAAAATGTAAAGCATATACAATTGTCTTTGCAACTGTTTCGTTCATATAGATATGAATTTAGCTCTGCATTCACAGATTTAAGAAAATTCGAAGTCTTTAAAGAGTCAAGATGGACAACCTGTGCAGACTAAAAAGTGCGTTGTGAAACAGATAAATGTAGACCTGCATGATAGCCTTTTGACATTTAAGTATGTGATGATATTATTAAGATTTATTTCAGACAGTTACAGTAACAGTGGCGTTATATGGAGCCAATCACCGCCAAAATGACCAAATTATCATTACAAAGGGGAACAATTCTTACATAGCTAACATAAAAATGTGGCACTTGAATAAATAAGTTTGTGCATTTAATACTCTGGCCTATGTGTCAATAATTCTGTTTGTTAGCATAGCTTTCAGTTGGATCGCCTTTAACGTTATAAGCCTTCGCCTAGCAACGAAATCTAAATTTTCAGCTGATACATATGCAATACTACCAGCATGTAGTAATCGACAGACATCTTGAGGTGTCCCAATAAAATATAATTTGCCATGAGAGTGCAAAGCAATGCTGAGAAATCAGTCAGCACCATAATGTATTGCACATTAAAAACATAACTCAACACAAAGAGTAGGAAAGTATACTTTATACTTAACAAAACGACATTATAAAAAGGGGAGTGTATGCTGTCAGCTTGATTTTATGCATTTAATATAACGTTAAAAAAGTATATAAACACCATCATACAAAATTAATATTACTATCCTCAACACAATGTAACCGTTTCCTTAGGTTTTGTTTTAAAGTGAACGGAGTTCAGTCTAAGTATCTATCAACTTGAGAAGCACACAAATAAATTCAAACATCAACTTTGTACAACAATGTATTATCATAAGAGAACATTTTACTCAACTGGTGAGAACAACACAACAAAAACAATCAACACGGCTATACGTTTTTCACTACACTTTATGTCACCAGTAAAGGATACTACTGATACAAAGTAGAGTATTGGTGAAGATCACTATAACATGAACACTGTCAAATAGGTGTAAAAGATGCAACATTGTCAATATGAACATAGCCAATTATAAATGCATCAATGAATAAATCGCCATGACAGATACATTTGAATCCTAAACCTTTCCGATAATCGAAGTTTATAAATGATACTGAAATCTAAAGATTTTATTGTTACGGTGAAAATAAAGTTATAACAAGATTTTTTTTTCTTTCTTACAATAAGAAAAACAACTGCCTCCTGGTTTTCTCTGGCGGAATTAGATTGAAATTTGGATCGAAGTTTTGCTATCAATTCCTATAATTCTGTATTAATAAATTTACATGTTCATTTCTGACTTATATCGTTATCGGTATTACAACAAAATGTCCAATATATTAATTTCTTTTACGTATCGTGAATGTCAAGTACGTAGATATATATACCACAGCCTTAACACAAAATAATGAAATAGGGACTATATAAGCAACAAAATCTAAAGAGACAGTAGATTAAGACCAAATATAACAAGGCCTAAAAGGACCAAGCATTAGGTCACTACCGGAAAAAAATTCGTGATCTAATTATACATTTTCGTGACCGTTCCCTTAAAGAAGACATAAAACTATTATATTCCCAATAACCTACTACATATTGTATGGTTATGAGAATAAGGGGATATAACTCTTGAATTCATAAAGTAAAATATATACAACGATTAAATAAACGTGACTCAGAAGAATTTCATATCACTATTGTTTCTGTGTTAGTGAAATAGATCCAGTGGATTATTTTTTGGGGGAATTTTTTTAGTTGCTCATCATATCACAAACACACATGTATAGCAGGCAAAATTAAATCATGTAAATAACGATATAATTTTGCACAACTACAAACATTAAATCAAGGTGAAAAATAACATTGACAGTAATCTTGTCCGAAAACAAATAGTACAGATAGAAAAAAAAACTGTATATATACACACATAATTATGATAAAAACGGAACATTTTAACTTAATGAAAATATATATATATATTTTAGAATTTTTTCTTATGAACAAACTATACAGATAAATAAATTAATAAAAAATACTTCGATATTCAAATGTATTGTAAAAACAACCATTAAGAGATCTACAGCTTACAGAATATAAATATCACAGGGACGCAAAGTTAAAATAGACACATGATTTTTCTTTTGCATTGCATTTTTCTTTCAATTAACCCGTGCAGTTTAAATTTTACTGTCAAGAAACAAACAAAATGTTAGTTACAATTAACAAAACAGAATTATAAGAAAAGAATAACGTTGATGTGTAACAATTCAAAAACGGATCTTGTATCAGGTTTGTTCCTTACAGTTTAAAAAATCGCAATCTCAATAGAACAAGACATGTTAGTTGATTAAAATAAAACATCATTATCAAAATACTCTCATACAGACAAACAATTAATTGTGCAGAAAAAGAACTAAATAAAAAATTGTTTATATTTGTACATGTAAAATATCATACAAACGGTATATGAATAGACGATCTTTCACGAGTTTCCATTTCATATAACATTTATGAAACGTTTCCAAGAATGATGAATTCTGGCGAATCTCTTTTGAGCTTCGTTTAAAAGATCATGTCCAGTTTCATAAAATACATATGAAATGGAAACGAAGGTAAGATGAGATTTGTTGCGAATATTCGTAAAAGCAATGTTTCTTATAATGACTTGAAATCAGAAATAAAGTCATTTTAACAATGAGCCTTCTTTTTGTGGAGTTCAAAAGCAACTAAAAGTCTGTGACGCCATAAAGGTGTGATACCACAATCGAAACCTACGGCCAATCACAGCTCCGCTTATTGTTATTTAACGTGTGTCTATATCACTATATATGTACTGGTGTTATTACACTGATTCAAAAACATCTCTGCATGGATTTGATTTCAATTATTGAATATTATAAATGTTCATAGTATTTTACTACTTGTAACAAATATAATATGTGTTTAAATCATGTCTTTATCTAGTTCTACATGGTCACAGTACAGCATTGCACTAATGATAACAGTTGCATAAAAATATATATATATATACATATATATGTAATATATAAATCATTAACCCTATTAATAATAATAAATAATTTAATTAATAATTAATAATAATAATAATTTGGTAATAGGGTAAAATAAAAAATAAATATATTATGTATAGCTGGGCGGTTTCAATCCGCCTGAAGAAGCCCTAGAAGGCAGAAAGGCCTAGCGGACGATCTGAAAAATTTGTTTTTATTCTATATTTTCCTTCGCAAGGACTTATTTATTTATTATCTACTATATATATATATATATATATTTACTTTCTCGAACATATCTTTTTGTTTTTAGTGATCTAGTGTTGACTGAATTCAAGGAGTAACGTGAAATCCCCACCTCACGAAATGTAACTGTGTACTTAGCCATGCACAATGTTATAGTGATAAGTAATGGAAAATAGTAATACGCAAGGGAAAAGAAGGATGGAGGAAGGGGGTTTAAGTCATAAAATATGTTCACAAGAGAAGATAACTCTGCAATACGCAAAGACGGAATAGTCTCATATGAATGAGTTAGTATGAAGGAAAAACTAAGCAAAAGTGACTGAACATCTATAAATATTTATCCAAAAAAGCTGAAGTGTCACGGTCTTCTCGTCCAAATTTTATCCCATTGGTACATTTAATTAACAGTTCCAATACAGACCTTTCTTTAGGACGATGTGCAAAGTATCAATCATATATATTTACAACAACAAAATGTATAGAGCAAAGGTTTTGCATACATTTCTTTATCAAATTGTGCTTAAAGCTGACAGTGCAAGTTAAAAAGCTTTCAATTGAGATGTTTAAAAGTGGTTGTTTTTTTCTAGTTTTGAGATCTTCCCCAGTGACAATCTCTTAGTAAAGCTGGAAGTGAACTTTGTATGATTTCAAGCAGATTGTTACAAAACAACGTACGTAAGGTCTGTATGCAATGGGTTATTCTGGCAAAACTGCTGAGAATGCTAAATTACAAGTGGTTATTTTTTTAAATGTGACAACTGTATATTATTCTTTATATACATGTATGTGTACTGCTTTTGATTTAACTCAGATAAATTAATATATTGTGCAGATATTTCATAGCTCCGCAACATTATTGTCAGCCATGCAGACAATTATCATTCTTACTAAAAAATATTTGATGTTTAAACGTTATTAAAATCATCAAATATGTGTAAAAACTTACCTTAGATACAGTTAGATATTTATGAAAGCTTGTTTAATATTTTTTCCAAAAATATTCCACGGGCCAAATTAAGAGTATAATATCAGCTAAAACCCCAAATTTTGTATAAAAAGATACACATTCCATCGACCTTAGATAGCTATTGATTGTTTACCACCAATACCGGAAAGAACATCATTGAAGGGAAAACATAATGATAAATATATATATACATTTGATATATTAACACACTGGGGAATCTAACATCTCTATAATCACACTTTACCAAATCTAAATGCATTGTAACAACTACTTGTAAGTCATGGTACAATTGATAGAACATTTCTAAAATTACATGCTAGATTTCTCCTCCTTTCATAATACAATCGTGAAAACTATATTATCGCCGTAACGGCGTTAAAAGTGGTGAATAAATTATGTAAATGGTATTGCTTTTATGGCGCACATTTTACATAGGGCACGTTTAATTATTCTAAAGTGTACCATGGTTCACTTTTACGAGATTGACATTTTATCTCTGAGTAACATTTTCTATCACTTCTATATCCTAAAGTACAAAAAATATAAGTACAGGTATACAGTGGTTTCTATTTTGATTATAAAATCGATCCCTAGAGCCTATAGTCAACTTTTATTATAGAAGTAATCAACAGCGTCATTCTCGTAAATGTCCCAAGGTATACTTTTGAACATAACCATGATCAGAAGTGTCCTGCCGCTATCGGCCATTACATATCAACAGCGTCATTCTCGTAAATGTCCCAAGGTATACTTTTGAACATAACCATGATCAGAAGTGTCCTGCCGCTATCGGCCATTACATATCAACGCATGTACAGATATTGTTTGATACTTGAAATATAAGTTTAAGAATACATATCATTTGTAACCAAAATTTGAAAAAATAAAGCTTTCTGGAACATGCGTCGTGTTTCTACTCATATTTTTACTTTTACTGCAGTTTGTAAACTGGGAGATTGCAATCCTGGGAGGTTTCAAATAGACATGCCAGAACGGTTCCGAACGTACCGGTTCTTTAGTGTTGCGTTGCTGCCGGTGGGGCGCTGTTAACAGTGGATTGGATGTTACTTTGTAGCGCAAAAGGCGAGGATGTTTGATCGGGTTGCTGTGTTGGTGCCGTTGGGGGGTAAGCTGGAGGAGGGTAGGCCGGGGGCGGCGGCGGATAAGCAGCGGGTGTGTACTGAGGGCCTCCGACGTTGTTGTACGGTGGGGGTTGAACTGTTGGGATAGGCTGACTCTGCATCTGATAGTACGGTTGGGGCTGCATGGGCATGTTCACATGGCTGTTCACTGTATATAAAATTAAATGTGATTAAATAAAAGTAATTATTGCTCACATTTCTTCCTAAGGATATAGAGGTCACACTGGTGATCATTGCTTATCATGTTATCACTGTTGAAATGACAAGTTTGTCAAATAATAAGACAGCTTTGGTTTCAGCTTTTTATCCAAGTTTTATTTCATAATATTTCAACTATATTGTTTAATTATGATAAATTCTAACTTTTAGAGTTCGTAAAGTTAATTTCTTTATCGATTTAAGTGTTCTTTGAACGATTTGGCACGTTATATGTACAAATAACTATGTTGTTTTAAATTCAGACATCATGCAAGGGACCACAAATGAGGATATTCGTATTGGTCTTATATACTATCCAAACAGCAGGGAGATTTATTTAACCCCTTTATTATATTTATTTCAAAAAATAGAGAAATCCAATAGGGTTAATTTCAAATTATTAATGAACGAAATGTGTATATTAGGTCCCATACCATTTCTCAAAAAATTAAATGTGGCAATCAAGGTTTAGGCAAACCTCGGGAACTAAAAAACAATCCGCAAGCAGATATGGTCACCTTATGGTAGATGAACATAAGACTCGCACGAGTGATTTCAACGCTAAACAAATAAACAAACAAAATAGGAATATAACGACTATATATGACATACCTATGGCAACCCCCGGGCCCCCTGTTGTTGCTGGGGCTACCACCGCTCCTCGCTGTCCTCTGGATTTCTCAGTACATTTGCAAATACAACAGATCACGACAGCTATCATCACTCCGAGGAAGACAAGACCCCCAATGATGGCACCAACAATAACACCAATCCTGTAAAAGAGGAAATTATAGCACTGAGCTTATATAGGTTTTACCGGTGATGTTAGTATTTAACGGGGGAAATATTCCCCTTATACCGATTGTTCCCCCCAAGCAACGTTTCCAATGATAACACACATACTGTAGAGGACGAATTAAGCACTAAGCTTATATTGGTTTTACCTGTGATGTAAGTATTTAACGGGGAAAATATTCCCCTTATATCGATTGTTCCCCCCAAGCAACGTTTCCAATGATAACACACATACTGTAGAGGACGAATTAAGCACTAAGCTTATATATGCTTTACCGGTGATGTTAGTATTTAATGGGACAAACACAGTTGCGTCATTTACATATTCTATTTTTCCAATCAAATCTTGGTCACATTGATATAGTAAAAAACTTATTTTGCAAATGTCGCGTCCGTTATACATATTATCAAATAAAATGTGTATTGTTGAAATTTTCATATAAATATATTGATATCAGGTCCCCGGCCTTTTTATAATCATTTTTATCTAGTACTTTATTCCATTCCTTCCTACAACTTTACTCACTAATAATAAAGAGGCAGATTCATCCTCCAAAAATAAAACCTCATTTCATATTGACCAATCCTTTGGTATAATTTCTGTAAATGTTCTTGCATGTCGGTGATGACCCACAGGGCAACTTCCCTTTGAATGGAGGGAATGTTATACTCCCAAATAAGGTTAACAATAAGTAAGTGTTGCTCTGGGGCCATATTATGGAAATATGAGGATAATCATGGATAATTGACGCCATTATGACACATTTTCAAAATTCTGAAATTTCGTGTGTATGCATATATATATATAAAGAAAACAATTTTAACATAAATATTTAGAAATTGAACAATTAGTCCCCTTCTTTTGTAATTTCGAGTTTAATGGCTAGAAGGTATAATATAAAGTAAAAAAGAGTCGTCTCAAAGTGGATATCGTACGGGACCTCATACGAACGGACAACTGTCTAAACAAGTCATGAAGGCATTTTAGCTTATAAAGAAATTTACCTAAAGAAAGATATTGTCGCCTCTAAAAGGAGCATTATTTCGAAATCTGTAGTCGGCTAAACGATATGTTGTTATAATCATACTTACGACAATGACGCCGCGGTGTACTCGTAGGCATAGTAAGACGAGATACAACAGTAGCGGATGTAAGTATAACCACAGCAACCGAATGAACAGTAGCCATAGTAAGTGTAGGAGTAACTGCTGGTGAAGTAGTTGTACTCTAGTTCGTAACAAGTGCTCCCCGACAGGTATTCTGATACAAATGAAGGAAAAGAAAATAAACATCACAGAAAATATGTCTAAACCTTCAATGAGACGTGTTGTTTCAGTATAGTGTAAAAATCTTTCTGAGCTGGTCATCTGTGGGATTTATTGTTGGTTCAAAATACACAGGTTTAAACGACTTTAAAGAGTTCATTGTATTATACTAATGCATTAAGTTGACTCAGACTTAATTGAGTTTATGTTCCTGCGTTCTTTAGTACCCAGCCCATGGATCAAGAACCAATCTGAGAGTTAAGTTTTTGCTTAGCTATTCACAAACACGACGCTATTTTTCATGACGTTATAAATTATGGATTAAGGATGTACACCTCTGAGAAGTAAAAACAATCCTGTATGAAACTATTTTTCTTATATGGATTTTTGGAAAAAGGAGATAATGGCATAGTAGAAAATGCAAAATAAACTACATGTCCGTGTGTTCGTTTTTGTGCTATAATCAGTCAAAGATACTAATTTAACACAATATATGATTTAAGGTGATTTTTTTGGTTTCGACCATTTGCAGAACAAATTCATAAAAATATTATTTTCTTTTACATTATGGAATTAAACTTTCTTAATCTTATTTTTTTAACTCAAACGGGCGATTTAAGTTAACCCTACCCGGGTGTTTTTATGAAAAAAGTGCTCATTTTTTACCATTTTTTGCAGATTCAACGCTTGATATACAAAGTTCTGCTATTAACCCTTTTTTAATATTCAATGAATCAAAAGAAAACGTGTTTGTCTTTCTAAAACAGCCATAAAAATGGGGGTACGTTTGCTTCTTTTTTTGCCCCATAATTTTCCACTTTGTTGCATAATATTTTCATCATAATGAACATTATAAAGCTGTACAGTAAAATTGAACCTGCTACAATTAAAAATGGCGACACAATGACATTTTAAGTGATCTGTCTAGTGTCAAAAAAGGTGAAATTTTGGCCTTTTGTGAAGCGCAAGAAATACACATTAATACACATTTTCAAAATGGCCGCCGAATTGATCATTTTTTCAATTCTTGTAAAAAAGTTCTACAAACAACAGGCATCTAGTTTTTTGACATATTTTTCAGATACGTGTTTGCTATTAAATTTGATCATAATATGTTAAACATTACAAAAACACGTTACACCAGATCAAAAAGTGACCTGAACGTGATTTAAACCGCAGAAGAGTATGGTGCAGATTGTGCGGTTTTCATTTTTGTGACATCATAATTGTTATGTTGTAAAAGTTATGGTCAATTCAATGAGAAAGTTTGCTTTTTTAAAATGAAATTAAATGAAAACAACCTATTTTGTACATTTACAATAGAACACAGTTTACTCAAATTTCTTATTAAGATACATTAAAACATAGCTTTTCTTTAAAGGGCAATTTAGCCCAAGGAAAACCTGAAAATCGAGTCGATACTGAAAATATATATCTTCCAACGAAAGTTTATGTCAGTTTCATCTTTTGGGAAAGCCGATGATAAAAATAGGAACGACCCAAATAGCGCAATATCCGGGCCTTTAAGTGAGAAGTTGATATGTACAGCACTACGCTGTCGACCGACAACACAGTGTCAGTTAAGAGTCTGAATTATAAGTATCATAATATAAACCTCTAATCAGATATTTATGTTCACGTTTGGATTTGAATGAAAACGAACAGGTTCAATTAGAGCATGCACGGACTGAGAGGGTGCCGTAGGGACAATATCAAACCGCAGAAAGTACTATATCAACAGGTTTAAACGTAAAATAGATAACTTATTTATAACGATGTTTGAGATGCTGTTGGGAGATTATTTTAATCCAGAATAAATGCATGTATTTGTATTCCAAAAAGGCTAGGTGAATAAAGCGAGAAGTTACCTTCTCTTCTCGACTTGAAATACATTTCGTTAGCTAGAAATTCACCGACAGCTGCTGCCGCTAAAACGTACGGCTGTACGGTTAAGGATTTCTTCATTACTGATTAAAAACGCCAAGAAAACATTGTCACTTGTCAATTTCTCGACATAAATTGCTCATAAGGAGTATCACACTATATAATCATGAAGAATTTTGTAACAAGGTTATAAAAAAGTTTACTTCACTAAATTGTCCCTTTAAAGGTAAAATATCATAAAATCAACATTATCATATCCGTTTACACAAATTTTCGTTTGAGTAACGATACTATAAAATTCATATTATTATGTAAAGATGAAATCCAACACATAGTATTTCGTTTAAAGTTACTATTAAGTTCATAATTATATTCGTGTAAACATACAAAATGTACCATAATATCGAAATTGTCCTGTAAAGATACAATTAAACACGTAGTATTGTGATAAGTTATCAGCAAGCACGTATTCATCAAGGAAATAGCAAACCAAATTATTGGAAAATGTACATACATGGAAAGATAAATAACAGCAAATTTAGTTTTATACTTACTTTGTTGTACACAACTGATATATAAATCGTATTGCAACACCGCTAATACAGATATTAACTGCAGCTACCTGTTAATACGTGTATGATAAGTACTTGAATACAAATCATTTCCTAAAAAACTATTTGCTGAAATCAGATATTGTTAAACCGAACATTGTAACCGAAATATGTTATGTGCGGTATTCAAACCAAAATAAGCTAGAAGACTAAACAATTGTCATGAAGGACCGTATCACACCAGGTGAGATATCATACAACGTTGTGGGACCAAGTATAGCAAGGCTTCTTTCTTTTCTCCTCCGACAACCATGTTGTCATTCAATATGTATTTAACTCAGGTTGAAGCATTTTCTTTTTGCTTTAAACTAGTTGTTTGATTATTTGTTTTGTTATGACTGTTTACCAAAGCTCGTATACGATTTTGTGTTCAGGCATATCACTTGTATCAACAAAACCCGCTATGTCAATTTACATGCAAGTGGGTTTATACGTGCTATGCTGTACTATGAAGCTACTAAAATCCTACTGCAGTTTAGCATAATAGGCGCATTGGCATTGGTAAAGGACATATTGTTTTTATAATGACGCGTAGCAATTCAGCATAGATTAGGAACAATAATTCCTTTTTCAAATAACTCGAGTGGAAATGAAGGTTCAAAATTCATAACCAAATGAAATCACACTTCGAATGAGCAGTTGTTTGTACCGTTGAAATATATATATATTTATGAGTATTTTTTGAACGGGAGAAATAATTCGACATACCTGGCAGCTCAGTAAGTGGAATAAAAAAGGCTTTGAATCTGATCTGATAATTGTGATTAAACTCACTTCACTGACTCTGCGGGCATAACTCCGTAAATTACAGTCGGACTATAGTGGTTAGTGAACTCGTCCGAGATTTCATAGTGATAAACCTTCCCAATGAAGTTGAACATTATTCGAGATATTGACCGCCCACTGTTTCATCAATTGAATAAAGGTGTATAACTCCTTAAATTACAGTCGGACATTGGTAATGAGATTTCATGGTAATTTGTCTATGAAGTTTCAAGTTAATTCATTGAAAACAAGTAGAGATATCGAGCGGACACTGGTCATTAAACTGGCATAACTCAGTACATTACAGGCGGATAATGGTGGTTATCGGATTTGTTCCAGCTCTCATTGTATTTAGTATTCCTATGAAATTCGGAGCGCCCAACCACCCGTCCACTCACGTGATAACCTAATACGTATAACAACCTAATATGCTCGCTATGACAAGATATTATTAACAGTTAATTAAAGAAATATAGGGGGTTCTTTCCCAATGCCTTTTTAACTCATTTCACTCGACAAAACAACTAAAATAATATTTTTAAACGTCTTTTGTATTTTATTGTATTGTTCAAACGCGAGAGAAAATTCCAAAATCAGGTATATCTTTATTGTGTTGCACACGCACAAATGGTGAGATTTACAATGCCTTATATACAAGACATTTACAAGACTGACATAACTGCCTTTGTAATGTTTATATACATTGCCGGTTGTATTGTCGGCTATGTGTATATTTAAGTACAATAGTTTGTAGTTGAAAATATATAGAAAACACTGTCGTATTTGCTACATATACAGTTTTAATGAAATGCACAATCCTATTTCTATATGTATTAAATATTCGGATATTTTACACATTAGGTGCACTGATTTTAATGAAACCTGTTTATAAACAGCTCAACTGCCTATAACTACCATATAATCAATGTACAGGATCGTGTTGATACGACCTCAACTTGATTTCTTTCTGGGCGTTTTTAGAATGGATTGGCTATTGACACTCGGGCTAGATATGTAAATATATATGTACTTATTTTACAGTTTGTGGCTCATCCGTCCATCGATTTTCAAATGATGATACAGAGTTGATCAAAAGTGTTGCACTCATGAAATATATATATAAAAAAACAGTCAATGTTCATGAAACATGTTTTACATTCAACGGGTACTAGTGGTTATCCTCTGCTGCTTAAAATTTTACAGCGGGTAACTAGTGGCTATCCTCTGCTGCTAAACTTTTACAGCGGGTAACTAGGGGCTATCCTCTGCTGCTAAACTGTTACAGCGGGTAACTAGTGGTTATCCTCTGCTGCTAAACCTTTACAGCGGGTAACAAGTGGTTATCCTCTGCTGCTTAACTGTTACAGCGGGTAACTAGTGGTTATCCTCTACTGCTAAACTTTTACAACGGGTAACTAGTGGTTATCCTCTGCTGCTAAACTTTTACAGCGGGTAACTAGTGGGTATCCTCTGCTGCTAAACTGTTACAGCGGGTAACTAGTGGTTATCCTCTACTGCTAAACTTTTACAACGGGTAACTAGTGTTTATCCTCTGCTGCTAAATTTTTACAGCGGGTAACTAGTGGTTATCCTCTGCTGCTTAACTTTTACAGGGTGTAACTAGTGGCTATCCTCTGCTGCTAAACTGTTACAACAGGTAACTAGTGGTTATCCTCTGCTGCTAAACTTTTACAGCGGGTAACTAGTGGGTATCTTCTGCTGCTAAACTTTTACAGCGGGTAACTAGTGGTTATCCTCTGCTGCTTAACTTTTACAACGGGTAACTATTGGCTATCCTCTGCTGCTTAACTTTTACAACGGGTAACTAGTGGCTATCCTCTGCTGCTAAACGTTTACAACGGGTAACTAGAGGATAACCTCTGCTGCTAATCTTTTACAGAATACTTTATATTCATACTCAAACGTATTATAACACAGTGTATCATTGAGTAATGAAAGACTCCAAAACTCCACCTCGGTCGATTAGTAATTATTTCTTCTTGTTTAGACGGTAAGATTTTTTAACACTACAAATAAGCCATATCGTTTCTGCCAAAGTCACCAAAGCGTCACTTTTGAACGCCCCAAATTCACAAATATAAGACAATCATCATCATTTGAAACTAAGTAAACAAAGATAAACATTTTTAAAATAGTTCTTGAAATCATTGGAACGTCTTACATTGAACAAATTTGTTGTGCATGTTTTTGTTTTTCATTTTCCCTGTAGGCTATTAGCTGGATATCTATTTGTGATAACTCAATTTTATTTGCCTTTGTACATGTAATTTGTTTTTTGGATTGTGTTAAATCGCCTATTTACATAGAAACAGCTGGTACGTCATGTCTCTAACATTATAAATTCACCTTTCGTTTACATAATTTGATCGATCTTTATTAATGCTCAGAAAGGCATGTTGTCGGTTGGTTGCCCACAGGTATATTTTAATGGCTGCCTGATCAATTATTGGTTTGAACCAAGTTACATTTCGATCGATACACTTTTACCTAGTTTATGTTAACCATTATGAATGTAACATGCCTGTAACCTTTTTTTTCAATTCCTCCAAGGTGTCTGTCAAAAATTGATTTGAATTTGTTCATATGTACCAGAGACGTATATTCTGGCTTTATATGTCTCTGTATGTACATAGTGAGTGTTTTATTTTAATCTACAAGTAGAGACACTGTATATACGTTTTTCAGTTCCTTATATACACCTAATATATTGACTTTATACACAATTACCCTGCTTTATTGAATATCACTTGTGACTTAATGTCACTCTGCTTATGTTTATAGTTATATAATCGCGTCAGGGTGTTATTATCTAAAATCACTAATGGTCTGCATCACTCCTTAAACTCATTATATAGTCATTCGGGAAAAATGGGGTATACTATATTATATAAAGTAGTTTACGTAGAAGAAAAACATGATAGTTTTCTGTACAACCTTGTAACATCCGTCATGCATTTGTAGTCATCTCGGCCTCTTGTATAACAGAAGGTTTACTATTTAAATAACAGCAAGGCTGGCCAAGCAGGGACATTTACCCCCGACCACCTACCCAACCCCTGATCTCAAATACTGATACATCGAGACCAATTCCCACGGGTTATGGATTGTACATATATCTAGCAGCAATATTATCGAATTCACTGGCTTGTTTAAGGACAATATTAGTTTATTAATGATAACCAATGAAGTGTGGACAGGAACACCAGACCGCTCCACCATCGAACAGATCTCACCAGAGGAAAGAAAATATAACCTTTCAATCTCAACATAACTGACCCAAGAGATGGCCACACATACGATCCCCATATGAGGAAAGAATGATTCATCAACTCACCTCGGAATTGCAGGATCACAGTCAGTAAAAACAGTGTGATACCACTGTTACCCATCTTGATGACTACCTTCCCTTCACTACATACGTACTGTATTGGTCTATTTAGTGTCTATAACATGTAAGCTGTCCTCTGGTACAAAGTGTATCTGGTTTCTCCTCCGGGTTTATTCAATGAAGCTATTGATTAAATGACGTCAGACCCATGTGTTCCGTATATCTGCGTAGTGATCGTACCCGGTAAAGCCTACATAATAAAGCAGGCTATTTATACGCCGCGTCGATCACGCCAGACGTGTATTTGCTCTGTCACTAGGAAGTAAAAATGAATTGATATTCACTTGCACCGACTACAGACTATTTAAATAGCCGAATAATAGGGTATGTTAATGGATCTGCACGACACCTAATACTTCCTGAGTACACATGTGGCCGGCTTTCCTAATGTTTAAACGCGAACATGAATTGCTGTATGTAAATTACAATACGAAAAGTGATTTTTAAAGGTTTAATGCCATTTTAACATGTTTGGTCGTGAATACGAAGTCAACAATTGATTTGGCCATCCAAGAAGTAAAGCACTACCTCACTTAAATATTATAACCCGGAGAAGTTAATTAGGGAACTTCATTCTGACAATAGGCTAACCAAAGGTTTCCAGTGGATCTAATTCCGCAAGAACCGAGTGCATGGGGTCGAAAGAAAACATAAAAAAACGTAGCCGAAACTATAACGGAGTGGTTTCGGTTTCCTTTAATATCTTCTAAATAGAATACGCAAAGGGCTGAGTTTAGTCGCCTCAGTCGATCCGGCAATAGGATAAAACAGGTTAAAAACTTTCGATTACGTCACCTATTGTTTTTACAAACTGACTATTTCACCTATTCAACCGCTAGGCGTTGGATAAGTTGAGTGACTGTTGGATAAGTAGTGACCTATTCATACTATCAAACGGCTAGCGGTTGGATATTTAATGAATGGATCTCCACTTATCCAACAGGTCACACATGGTCATGTCAAACGTACCCATAATATCCATCTGTTGAATAGGGTTTGCAGACAAAAAAACAGATAAACAAAGAAAACGATAACAAATAAATATGAAAGATAGTAAATGTAATTTTAATTCCAACTTTAATACCTGGTGGTACACGGTAGTCAGCCGTTGTAATATATACACGTACAATGCACTTAGCCGAAGTTTCCAGTTTTCACAAACACATCCGCTTTACGTATTTCACAATATATATTCAAACAAGGATTTCCACCAACACATCCCCTTTACGAAGTTTGATGCACGAATTGCTGTTGCCACCGATACCTGTGTCCTTACTGTGACCAGAAGTTTTCCGTTTCGTGCCTTGTATAACAGATTTCAGATTTCAGATTTTATTTCCAACACTCAGACGCATGGAAATGTGTAACATGAGGTACATGTACATGAATTCATATATTAAATTTTGACAGGAAGGACAGGTGCATGCATGTATACAAGCAAAATTGTATTGACACTCAGACACATAATATGTGTTACGTGAGGAAATAAAGTTGCAGATATGGAAAATGAAGTACAATATACATATTTGTATACACATGCACACCTGAGAGAATGGACAGTTCAATTTAGAACCGGTACGGTATAGTAACATGATATGACATACAATGGAAAATACAAACATAAAAAACATACATACAATTCCCAAGTTATTCAACTATTAACAGTTATACATATGCTTCATTCACAAAAGAGGAGCCATTTTGGTTAGGAAAATAGATAAACCTGTCAGAACTCGTTGATTGCATAATGATAAAAGACCTTTAAACTTACAAATATTTGGGTTTGTGCAATAATAACGAGGAATATATTTGTTACGTAAGGTGGATATAGGTATATAATAGCATTCAAATAGATAATGAAATTCATCCCCGACACTTTCCGCTTTCAAATTACATAGTCGATTATCTCGGGGTATGTTATACCATCTACCTGTTTCAATTGGAAACTTCAAATTCGAAGTGCGCAGTTTTGTTATTGGTGTACTGATATATTCTGGCAGATTTAATAAATATTTTTCTAGATCAAATTCCGTTTTAAATAGAATGTGTAGAACTGCCCACGAGATGAGCTAGTAATGTCATCGAACCATTGCTGTACAAAGTGATCGTTAAGCCGTTGTTTTAAAATGCATTTGTAAAAACCATCAGGCATATGTAATTTATTATCAAATATGTAAGAAAATCCCGTTTCATTGAAAATACCTTTTATATAGTTAATCCATTCGAACGGAAGAGTATCATCATTTTGCATATGTAAAGCCAGTCGTAGTAATATGAGTTTGTTTTCATTACTAATTATTCTATTCCAAAAACCTAACATTCTTAGTTTTACATTTATTTCCAATGACACACGACCTAGCTCGCCATAAATCATAAAATTAGGCGTTGTGGATCTCACTTTAAGAATTCTTCACAAAATTTAAGGTGAATCTGTTCGATTTATTTCAGGTTTTCGAATCCCCATACATCCGATCCATACAATAGAATCGGTTCCACTAAAGAATCAAATAGTTTTAATTGTAATTCTATAGGGAGAGAAAGGTTCCTGATTTTTTTGTATATAGCAAATATTGACTTTTGGGCCTGGTTGATCAATCTGCGTCTTGCGTTTACAAAACTGCCATTGTAATTAAATGTTATTCCTAAGTAAGTAAAATTATCTACAATTTCTAAAATTTCATTTTGTAATACAAATACATTTTGTTGTTTACTTTTCCTCTTGCGAAAAACCATGACTTTTGTTTTATTTACATTTATAATAAGCTTCCAAATCTTACACTATTGCTGGAATACATTCAAAGCACTCTGCAGTCCCTCTGGACTTTCTGAAAATAGAAAACTGTCATCAGCGTATAGGAGTACAAAAATTTCTACAAAAATATGTAGTTCATTATACAGCTTATCCCGTACAATTTCGAGTGACACACAACTTAAAGAGGCAAAATCACTTTCAACGTCATTAAGAAATACTGAAAAAAGAAAGGGGGGCTACTTGCTCCTGTTCCGTACCGGTGCGTTTGTACGCGCGGACCGCATCCGAACGATGTCCGGTTTTTTTCACACATCGCTTAACATTCCGTCTGTATCTCTATCGGATTCTGGTCGTTTACTAGTAAATGTCGATTGCGTAATAAAAACATCGTCAGCTGAACTGGACATCTTGGCAGCAGTACATGAAATGACCTTGGAAATATCTGACAGGTACCTTTGTACTCGGAACACCTCAGTTCATATCAATACCATTTGGATCGCATTTGGATACCATCGGCATTTACTAAGGCCTTGTGGTTATATGTGTTTGTGTCAATGAGTGCATTTTACAGGTGTGGACAACACAGGTAAACAACTCCATTCACTGATTATCCAACTGTCCACCTATACCAGGTCTAGGGGTCCAATTGGGATATGAAAGTTTTTAAGTAGGATAAATCCCTCGCAAAAGTTGGTTAAGTGATTTGGAAGCACCCTGTCTCGGGCCTATCGGCCCTCGACAGGCTATGCTTCCAAATCACTTAACCAACGTTTGCTCGAGATTTATCCTATACTTAATACTTACCCGGGAGTGATTGGTAGTCTGTTATAAATACGTATGTTTGACAGTATATAGTATACGGGTGGTTGCCAGTATATAGTATACGGGTGTTTGACAGTATATAGTATACGTGTGTTTGACAGTATATAGTATACTTGTGCTTGGCAGTATATCCATTACGCCATCGAGACTGTTTATCCTGTCTCCTCATCCTCCTAGAAACCGCAATCGCTAATCTCGCCATAATAAGTTTATCAGGGTACATTTGTTTAAACCCCTGGTTAGATTAACGTCAACTAAACGCAAAAATCTTAATCTAGCTTAATTATTTAAAACGAAATTCAAATTCAAAGCAAAATTTGTATGTATAAGGATTTAAATGATCATTTTATGACAATGACATAATTGTATGTTTTTATTTAAAATTCTCAAGCATCACATTAGAACATATATATAGAAAGTATATATAATTGTCTTTGCAACTGTTTCGTTCATATAGATATGAATTTAGCTCTGCATTCACAGATTAAAGAAAATTCGAAGTCTTTAAAGAGTCAAGATGGACAACCTGTGTAGATTAAAACAGCGTTGTGAAAGAGATAAAACCAAATCAAATTTGTTGTGAAATTTGTAGACCTGCATGATGGCCTATTGACATCTAAGTATGTGATGATATTAAGATTTGTTTCAGACAGTTACAGTAACAGATATGTTATTTGGAGCCAATCACCGCCAAAAGGACCAAATTATCATTACAAAGGGGAACAATTCTTACATAGCTAACATGAAAATGTGGCACGTAAATAAATAAGTTTGTGCAATTAAATACTCTGGCCTATGTGTCAATAAATTCTGTTTGTTAGCATAGCTTTCAGTTGGATCGCCTTTAACGTTATAAGCCTTCGCCTAGCAACGAAATCTAAATTTTCAGCTGATACATATGCAATGCTACCAACATGTAGTGATCGACAGACATCTTGAGGTGTCTCAATAAAATATAATTTGCCATGAGAGTGCATAGCTATGCTGAGAAATCAGTCAGCACCATAATGTATTGTACATTAAAAACATAACTCAACAAAAAGAGTAGGAAAGTAAACTTTATACTTAACAAAGTCACATTATAAAAAGGGGAGTGTATGCTGTCAGTTTGATTTTATGCATTTAATATAACATTAAAAAAATCGAAACATAATATCACAAAATTAATATTACTATCCTCAACACAATGTAACCGTTTCCTTAGGTTTTGTTTTAAAGTGGACGGAGTTCAGTGTAAGTATCTATCAACTTGAGAAGCACACAATACCCAAATAATACACTGTAGAAATAAATTCAAACATCAACTTTGTACAACAATGTATTATCATAAGAGAACATTTTACTCAACTGGTGAGAACAACACAACAAAAACAGTCAACACGGGTATACATTTTTCACTACATGTCACCAGTAAAGGATACTACTGATACAAAGTAGAGTATTGGTGAAGATCACTATAACATGAACACTGTCAAATAGGTGTAAAAGATGCAACATTGTCAATATGAACATAGCCCATTCTAAATGCATCAATGAATAAATCGCCCTAACAGATATATTTGAGTCCTAAACCTTTCCGATAATCGAAGTTTATAAATGATACTGAAATCTAAAGATTTTATTGTTACGGTGAAAATAAAGTTACGATAAGAAAAACAACTGCCTCCTGGTTTTCTCTGGCGGAATTAGATTGAAAGTGTTACGGTGAAAATAAAGTTAAAACAAGATTTTTTTCTTTCTTACAATAAGAAAAACAGCCGCCTCCTGGGGTTTTCCGGCGGAATCAGATTGAAATTTGGATCGAAGTTTTACTATCAATTCCTATAATTCTGTATTAATAAATTTACATGTTCATTTCTGACTTATATCGTTATCGGTATTACAAAAATACGTCCAATATATTAATTTCTTGTACGTATCGTGAATGTCAAGTACGTAGATATATATACCACAGCGTTAACACAAAATAATGAAAAAGGGGACTATATTAGCAACAAAATCTAAAGAGACAGTAGATTAAGACCAAATATAACAAGGCCTAATAGGACCAAGCATTAGGTCACTACTGGAAAAAAAGTCGTGATATAATTATACATTTTCGTGACCGTTCCCTTAAAGAAGACATAAAACTATTATATTCCCAATAACCTACTACATATTAAATGGTTATGAGAATAAGGGAATATAACTCTTGCATCCAGAAAGTAAAATATATACAACGATTAAATAAACGTGACTCAGAAGAATTTCATATAACTATTGTGTCTGTGCTAGTGAAATAGATCCAGGTTTTTTTTTCGGGAATTTTTTTAGTTGCTCTTCATATCACAAACACACATGTATAGCAGGCAAAATTAAATCATGTAAATAACGATATAATTTTGCACAACTACAAACATGAAATCATGGTAAAAAATAACATTGACAGTAATTTTGTCCAAAAACAAATAATACAGATAAAAAAACGTGTATATATACACACATAATTATGATAAATTAATGATAGAATTTTTTCTTATGAACAAACTATACAGATAAATTAATTAATAAAAATACTTCGATATTCAAATGTAATGTATATACGCAACCTTATTAAATAAGTAAAGACAGTAAGAGATCTACAGCTTACAGAGTATAAATATCACAGAGACGCACAGTTAAAATAGACACAGGGGTTTTCTTATTCGATATATTATAATTATTATATTTGCATTGCATATGTCTTTCAATTTACCGTTCAGTTTAAATTTTACTCTCAAGAAACATACAAAATGTTAGTTACAATTAACAAATCAGAATGATAAGAAAAGTATAACATTGATGTGTAACGATTCAAAAGCGGATCTTGTATCAGGATTGTTCCTTACAGTTTAAAAAATCGCAAACAATCTCAATAGAACAAGACATGTTTGTTGATTAAAATAAAACATCATTATCAAAATGCTCCCATACAGACAAACAATTAATTGTGCAGAAAAAGAACTCAATATCATACAAACGGTATATGAATAGACGATCTTTCACGAGTTTCCATTTCATATAGCATTTATGAAACGTCTCCAAGAATGATGATTCTGGCGAGTCTCTTTTGAGCTTCGTTTAAAATTAAAAAACCTGCCAGTTTCATAAAATACATATGAAATGGAAACGAAGGTAAGATGACATTTGTTGCGAATATTCATAAAAACAATGTTTCTTAAAATGACTTGAAATCAGAAATAAAGAAATTTTAACAATAACAAATGTGGAGTCCAAAAGCAACTGAAAGTCTGTGACACCATAAGGGTGTTATACCACAATGGGAACCTACGGCCAATCACAGCTCCGCTAATTGTTATTTAACGTGTGTCTATAGCACTATGTATGTTCTCGTGTTATTACACTGATAACAGGTAAGGTATGTGACTTATATTTAGAAACATCTCTGCATGGATTTGATTTCAATTATTGAATATTATAAATGTTCATAGTATTTTACTACTCGTAACCAATATAATGTGTGTTTATATCATGTCTTTAGTTCTACATGGTCACAGTACAACATTGCACTAATGATAACAGTTGTATAATATCTATACTTTTTCGAACATATCTTTTTGTTTTTTGGATCTTGTGGTGACTGAATTCACAGAATAACATGAAAACTCCACTCACCTTTAGTAATTGTTTACTTAGCCATGCACAATGAGATAGTAATAAGTAAGGGAAAAATAGTAATACGCAAGGGAAAAGAAGGATGGATGATGGGGAGTTTTAGTCATAAAAAATAGCCATGCTAACATTTAATATAATAACATTATTCTACTTAGAAACTGTTATAAAAGTATCGCATTTCAATATACTCATTTAAAAAACATGTTTGTTGATGCTGAACCTGATCAGGAATAAAATATATCTAAATAAAAATTTACTTTTTCTCACTATTAGAGTGAATTTACCACCCTAGGGTCATAGTCTCATATAAATGTTAAATATTAGTATGTAGGAAAAACTGACCACTAATTGCAAAAGTGACTGAACATCTATAAATATTTATCCAAAAAAGCTGAAGTGTCACGGTCTTCTCGTCCAAATTTTATCCCATTGGTACATTTAATTAACAGTTCCAATACAGACCTTTCTTTAGGACGATGTGCAAAGTATCAATCATATATATTTACAAACAAATATGTATAGAGCAAAGGTTTTGCATACATTTCTTAATCAAATTGTGCTTAAAGCTGACAGTGCAAGTTAAAAAGCTTTCAATTGAGATGTTCAAAACAATCTTTTTTTTTCTGGTTTTGAGATTTTCGCCAGTGACAATCTCTTAGTAAAGTTGGAAGTGAACTTTGTATGATTTCATGCAGATTGTTACAAAACAACGTATATTAAGAGCGTACGTAAGGTCTGTATGTAATGCGTTATTCTGGGAAAACTGCTGAGAATGCTAAATTACAAGTGGTGTTTTTTTTAAATGTGACAACTGTATATTATTCTTAACATACACGTATGTGTACTGCTCTTAATTCAACTCAGATGAATTAATATATTGTGCAGATATTTCATAACTCCGAAACATTAGTGTCAGCCATGCAGACAATTATTATTCTTACTAAGATTATTTGATGTTTAAACGTTATTAAAATCATCAAATATGTGTAAAAACTTACCTTAGATACCGTTAGATATTTATGAAAGCTTGTTTAATATTTTATACAAAAATATTCCATGGGTCAAATTGGGAGCTTAATATCAGCTAAAACCCCATTTTTTGTATAAAAAAGAGACACATTCCATCGAACTTAGATAGCTATTGATTGTTTACCACCAATACCGGAAAGAACATGATTGAAGGGAAAACATAATAATAAAAATATATATACATTTGATACTATAACACACTGGGGAATCTAGCATCTCTATAATCACACTTCACCAAATCTAAATGCATTGTAACAACTACTTGTAAGTCATGGTACAATTGATAGAACATCTGTAAAATAACATGCTAGATTTCTATCCTCCTAACATAATGCAATCATGAACAATGTGTTTTGACGTTACGGCGTCAAAAGTGGTTAACAATTTGTGTAAATGGTAAGGTTTCCATGGCGCACTTGTTTCGTAGTGCACGTTTCATTATTCTTAAGTGTACCATGGTTCATTTTATCTCTGAGTAACACTTTCTATCACTTCTATATCCAAAAGTACAATGGTTCTCTTTTGATTTTAAAATCGACCCGAAGTGCATATGGTCCACTTTTATTATAGAAGTGGTCAAAAGCGTCATTCTCGTAAATATCCCAAGGTATACTTTTGAACATAACCATGATCAGAAGTGTCCTGTCGCTATCGGCCATCACATATCAACGCATGTGCAGATATTGTTTGTTACCAGAAATATTAGTTTAAGAATACATATCAGTTGTAACCAAAATTTAAAACAAATCATGTTATATAAAGCTTTATTGCAAATATATCTTATGTCTTCCTATATATGTGTTTTGGAACACTTTAGACATTATTTGTATAATTTAGTACCACTGTTGAGTTCATAATCAATCAAATACCCATAAAGTGCAATAATTTGCTTACTTTGTCCGGCTTCCTGCGTCGACACACTAAGTATTTAATTGGTCGCTTCCTTGCGTCGTGTTTTTACTCATATTTTTACTTTTATTGCAGTTTGTAAACTGGGAGATTGCAGTCCTGAAAGGTTTCAAGTAGACATACCAGAGCGGTTACGAACGTACCGGTACTTTAGTGATGCTTTGTTGTCGGTGGGGCGCTGTTCACACTGGATTGGATGTTACTTTGTAGCGCAAAAGGCGAGGATGTATGATCGGGCTGCTGTGGTGGTGCTGTTGGGGGGTAGGCCGGGGGTGGCGGCGGATAAGCAGCGGGTGTGTACTGAAGGCCTCCGACGTTGTTGTACGGTGGGGGTTGAACTGTCGGAATAGGCTGACCCTGCATCTGATAGTACGGTTGGGGCTGCATGGGCATGTTCACATGGCTGTTCACTGTATTTAAAATGAAATGTGATTAAATAAAAGTAGTTTTTATTGCTCACATTTCTTCCTAAGGATATAGAAGTCACACTGGTGATCATTGCTTATCATGTTACCACTGTTAAAAGGACAAGTTTGTTAGATAATTAAACAGCTTTGGTTTCAGCTTTTTATCTAAGCTTTATTTCATAACGTTTCAACTACATTGTTTAATTATAATGAATTCTAACTTTTAGAGTTTGTAAAACTAATTTCTTTATCGATTTGAGTGTTCTTTGAACGATTAGCCACGTTATATGTACAAATAACTATGCTATTTTAAATTCAGACATCATGCAAGTGACCAAAAATGTGGAAATTCGTATAGGTCTTTTTTACTATACAAACAGCAGGGAGGTTTATTTAACTTCTTTATCATATTAATTTCAATAAATAGAGAAATTCAATAGGGTTAATTTCAAATCACTAGTGGATAAAATGTGTATAATAGGACCCATACTATTTCTCAAAAAATATAATTGTGGCAATCAAGGTTTAAACAAACCTCGGGCACTAAAAAACAATCAGTAAGCAGATTCGGTCACCTTATGGTAGATGAAAATAAGACTCGCACGAGTGATTACAATGCTAAACAAATAAACAAACAAAATAGGAATATACCGACTATATATGACATACCTATGGCAACCCCCGGGCCCCCTGTTGTTGCTGGGGCTACCACCGCTCCTCGCTGTCCTCTGGATTTCTCAGTACATTTGCAAATACAACAGATCACGACAGCTATCATCACTCCGAGGAAGACGAGACCCCCAATGATGGCACCAACAATAACACCAATCCTGTAAAAGAGGAAATTATAGCACTAAGCTTATATAGGTTTTACCGGTGATGTTAGTATTTAACGGGGAAAATATTCCCCCTATACCGATTGTTCCCCCCAAGCAACGTTTCCAATGATAACACACATACTGTAGAGGACGAAATTATAGCACTAGGATTATATAAGTTTAATTGGTGATGTAAGTATTTAACGGGACAGTTGCGTCATTTACATACTCTATTTGTCCAATCAAATCTTGGTCAAATTGATATATTAAAAAACTTATTTTGCAAATGTCGCGTCCGTTAAACATATTATCAAATAAAATATGTATTGTTGAAATTTTCATATAAATATATTGACATCAGGTCCCCGGCCTTCTTATAATCATTTTTATCTAGTACTTTATTCCATTCCTTCCTACAACTTTACTCACTAATAATAAAGAGACAGATTCATCCTCCAAAAATAAAACCTCATTTCATATTGACCATATAATTTCTGTAAATGTTCTTGCCTGTCGGTGATGACCCACAGGGCAACTTCCCTTTGAATGGAGGGAATGTTATACTCCCAAATAAGGTTAACAATAAGTAAGTGTTGCTCTAGGGTAATGATATGGAAATATGAAGATAATCATGAATAATTGACGCCATTATGACACATTTTCAAAATTCTGAAGTTTCGTGTGCATGCATATATATATATAAAGAAAACAATTTTAACATAAATATTTAGAAATTGAACAATTAGTCCCCTTCTTTTGTAATTTCGAGTTTAATGGCTAGAAGGTATAATATAAAGTAAAAAAGAGTCGTCTCAAAGTGGATATCGTACGGGACCTCATACGAACGGACAACTGTCTAAACAAGTCATGAAGGTATTTTAGCTTATAAAGAAATTTACCTAAAGAAAGATATTGTCGCCTCTAAAAAGAGCATAATTTCGAAATATGTAGTCGGCTAAACGATATGTTGTTATAATCATACTTACGACAATGACGCCGCGGTGTACTCGTAGGTATAGTAAGACGAGATACAACAGTAGCGGATGGAAGTATAACCACAGCAACCGAATGAACAGTAGCCATAGTAAGTGTAGTAGTAACTGCTGGTGAAGTAGTTGTACTGTTGTTCGTAACAGGTGCTCCCCGACAGGTATTCTGATACAAAGGAAGGAAAATAAACATCACAGAAAATATGTCTAAACCTTCAATGAGACATTATACTCGTGTCGTTTCAGTATAGTTTAAACATCTTTCCAAGCTGGTCATCTGTGGGATTTATTGTTGGTTCAAAATACACAGGTTTAAACGACTTTAAAGAGTTCATTGTATTATATTAATGTATTAAGTTGACTCAGACTTAATGGCAGCCTACCGCATTACGTCCCTTTATAGTTGGCCGCTAATAAACATTGGCGCTGTCTGTCAACGGTAGTTCCGGTTTGATCTCGTACGCACCATTCCAATGTAAACAATCCGAATATTGCGTGACTATTAACGTCTATGTTTAATCATCATGTAGGAGTTTGTGTGTAAATGGTTAAATGTGTTGTGTTGCATATATTCGCTTTGTATTAGCAGACATGTAATCGTTTTGATACATTTGTCATCATTTTTCTCGAGGGAATTCCTGCTGTACTATACAGTAACCATACCACAGGGGTTCGTTATAAATGTCTGAAATACACATGTACATATTTTATGCTGTACTGATATGGGTCATAGCATACATAAACTTTGTGTTGTTATCCATATCAGTAGCATATGTGTATTTCAGACATTTGTAACGAACCCCTTTGCAATAAGTTAACTTCTAAACACCGAATTTGGAAATGGATCCCTCTACTCCAGGGCCTAGAAATATGTTATGTGTCTGAGTGATCAGCATATTACGTAATCATAAGTGACACACCTGTACTATAGTGTTTGCCGGCGACGCACATAACCGTGGATAATGAAGTCAAATTAAAGGTCTTCATGCACTTTTACTTGTGAGAGAGGGAGGGGGGAACAAAGTACATGGGTTAGTGTTATGCTTAACTGATATGGGTCACACAGCATAAAGCTATCATAATCAGTGACTTTAAATGTGAATTTGGTTTTTTTTTTATTTTTAAACATGCACAAGTGTGTATTTTAGTCATTTGTAAAAGAATAAATTGTGATCTGAGCAAGAAAATATTTTTGATATCCAAGTTAATAGATATTTATTGAATCATTGCTAATTATTACCCAATAGTCTATATAACTTATACTTAGTCATTTTTGACTGTTTCTGGCCTTTTGTCCAATTTCGGCTGTAGGGGTGAAACAGTCAAAACTGTTTTCCCGGTCAGAGCGAACTGTTACCCGGCGCGAATTCGATGCGCAGAAATCCCCCCTCGAGAGCCCCCTTCATGCGTTTCGGTGACCGCGACTCAGTGTTAATGCAATGGCAACATTGCATGCAGCATTGATACTAATATTTATTTGGTAATAAAACAATTGTTTCATTGTTATTTGGGGAACAGTCAAAACAATCATCCCGAGGTAGGGGGGAGCCCTGTGGAACTGTTTGCCCTTGGCCTAGCGGCCTCGGGCAAACAGTTACCCAGGGCTTCCCCCTACCTCGGGATGATAGTTTTGACTGTTCCCCAAATAGCCATGAAACAATTGTATACTGTTGAACAGAAAATTATATGTACATGTCAAGATGTATTTAACTGTGTGATTCATAGTTGCTTCTGTAATTATCCATAGACAAATGTAATATCTAACATCTGTGGAGAGGTCACATTTGATTGAAAGTCAACCTTTACATCCCAATTGTTGCTCAGAATAATTATGAGAAGATGATGCACTTTTAACAACTGGCAACTGTGATTTACTTGTACAGTACAGTTCAACCATACAAGTTCCAGAGGAGTCATCCACTTTTCTTTCCACTCAAACATCTGAACTTAGTTACTTACTAAGTACAACTTGTCAAGTGTATACATGTATTTATTGATGTCTAAACTCAGTTCACAACATGTAGTGACGTACAAGAAAATACACATATCAACTTTGAAATATGCACACATTTAACATATTTGTCATCAATATAAAATTATCCATTTTGATGAGCTCACTAACAAAGTAACTTCTCTAAGAGATATAATGGGTTCTCAAAAAGTAAGCCAGGTCACACAAAAGAAAGAGTCCAGGAATCAAATATCCAATAAAAAAACATCAATATGACAAATCAAATCAAATAAAAACACAATTAAGTTTGATTATAGATATCTTGACTCATATCCTAAAGTTTATTTCCTGAAATGAAAAAAAATATCATGGATGTTATAAATACACTTTTTACACATGTCATAACACACAATATCAATATACATGTACATTATAATAACTAAGATGAAATGAGTATCTCATATGATAAGATTTTTTTTTTTACAAGTTATTACATACAAAGTTCTGTGTCCCTCTAATAACATTAAACAAGGGTTTGTCAATATCTGAAACTACCTGAGTTACACATACATTTAAGTCATTTAGGTTTTCTTGTTTTCAAATAAACATTTGACAAAAATTCTTTTTAAAATGTGTCCAGTTCTTCAATATTGATGCTTAACTATTTTCAATTTTGACTTCTAAAAGGTATTAAATCAATATTGTGATATTATCGTTCTCTTATATGGCCTGCTTCTCAATATATATATATAACAAAGTATGAAAATACTTGATCAGTGATACCTAGTAACTTTAACTCTATAAAAAAAACCATACATATTAGTTTTACCAATAGTTGTTGAAACAGACAATACACCCATCAAGTGTTTTGAAATTTTAACATCCCAAAACCTATTACAAAAATCACACATAAGTCAACATTGTTATAGTTAATGTACATACATGTACTGATACACAATTAATTTAACATTATATACCTGAGCCATCTTGGACATCAGTAGACCCAACAATGAGCTTTGACTCGAGTTTGCAAAGATATGTCTATTTAGATTGTGTTTGACTCCTCAGATTTAGGGAAAAGATTATTTGAAATGACTTAATGTCAAGGGTCAACTGAAAATCTGTTCATCTGAAATATTCAAGGGATTTTTGTTGAACAAAATCATTACAGTAGTGATTCTGTAATATGAAGTAATCTAGAAATTTTAAGTACAGGACATTGCAGACAGTATAATTCACTTCAGTAAGAGCTCGTACAAATTTGTCATGGCACAACATATCATAATTATTTGTTCTTCAGTAAGTGGTAGCACAGATTGTAATATCTTGAAGTTCTTGATTTGCTCCATTTTCATTTCAACAACAATCCTCGGAGCAGCAATTTGTTGAGTTTTAAAGAACTCCTGTACACTCATCTGACAATTAGATCATACAAATGGTGGCGTATTTAGTCCTATATGTGCAGGAAGTAAATCTCCAACAGTAAAGCCTTTGTATGCAAGAATAACATCTCGAGGTTCTGACGTTGGTAAGAAGAGGTCACCATCTTTTTGCACAATATGTCTGCTATCTGATACATGCCCACCCCAAATCCTTTACACAAATGTTACTAGACCATTGGGTGCAACTCCAATAAAACCTTTATAAGTGTTATGGTGTTTGTATTCACTCCATGTAAGAAATTAAGCCTCCATGTTTCCTGGTTTCTTGCAGAAGAATTATGTTGCATCTATAACTATACGAACCTGAGCCATTTCTGTAAAATGTTTAGGCAAATTGCTTAAAATTTGTTCTCTTGATGGCCATGGGATTAGGGACTTGCATGTAATAAAACATAAAATTAATCCATGTATTAATGATTCGAGAAACTGTTATAACAGACACACTAAATAAATCTGCAAGAAATTTTTGCCAGGTTTCTCAATTTTTTGGTTGAAATATTTTCTGTCTTTTGCAGGTAGTGGAGTGCTTTTTCCCCTTTCCCAGTAGGTCAACTATTCTGCACCATGCTTACAAAAAGTAGTAAAAAGCAGTAAAAATGTTGCATAATTTGTATAACCAGTATAATATTTTGTCTTCTCATCATTGTTTTCAATAATCTCTGGTTTAAAAATAGGAACAACTGTCTGTGATGCAGATGATTTCATACATTTGACCTTATTTAATTGTGTCTGTGTAGCATCATCTCTTACATTTACATCTGATGTCTAGACATATATGGAATCCCCAACTATAGGGTCAGTCTGTGTTTGAGAAATCTCCTTTTAAGACAAGGAACTAATAGTAGTAGATATACATGATGTATCCTCACAGGGAATGTTTTCAGTATTCTCAAATACAGAATGACTACTTTCCTGGGTGTAGTCAGATACCTTGTTTGCATACATTATTTTCAAAATGTAAATTGCGAAGTCTAGATTTTGAGCCAATTGGAGTATCTGGTCGCACAAGTTTGATTTTTTGAATCCATAATGATCTTGGGTTTTTTTTATCAGCACTGTCACCTGATGGAATGCAATGAGGTTTTATAGTTGTATCATCCTCACAATTTTTTTCCTGCATAATTGAAGCACAGTAAACAATATCTTTTTCCTCCCTTGACAGTGATAGAATCTGAAACCATATAATGGGATTTATCATGATATCAAGTTTTTTACTGGTAATGTTTTAATATTTTTTCACAAGAATAGATGGACAAGTGTTGTGATACTGTTCCAAAAAGGAAGGATTTCTTGTTTTATACAAAAGAAATTAAAAGTATATCAAGAAATGATTCAAATCTCTGAAGTAGTGTCTGATTTTCATGTTGTGATCATTGGATCAGACATACACAGGTGAAAGCATTCTAAAATTAGATTTGTTATGCTATGCATGATTTTACTGTGACTGGGATTACAATTGTATGTTTTATCAAATTATAAACAAAAAATAGAGAACCCATTTTAATAAATGTTATTTACAAATGTAGTCTATAATCTCTTTTTCTTGTTACAGTGAATGGTAAACCGTTTTTATTATTGTTATTTCCTTAAAAGACCTTTTTTAACTTACCTGTGTACCCATCAGTGTTTTCTGTCTATGTGAATCCAGCCCCCCTCTCTAAAAAAGTTCAAAATATACTTATAAAAATTCCCGAAAAACACTGCCAATATACACAAATATGTACTGTAAGAGTTGAGAAATTGTTGGTTATCGGACGACAATAACATAAAATA